AAAGACTTGATTATTGTCCAGATCAGAGAGGAGTTTCAACCAGGATCAGTGCTTATAAGTATTCATAAATACGTATCAAATGTTAATTTATTTTTAATTTCCCCCTTTTATAAAAGAAAAGGGTTTTTTGAGGGGGGGGTACAGTGGTAGCAATTAGTGTACACTTTTATTGTGAGAAGAAGACCTTCAAGAAAAAGCAGAGAGCAACAGTTTTATTAAAAAGTTGAAGCTGCTTTTTTTTTTTTTAAATTAAATGGACGGAGATGTGAGCCATAGCTCCGTGTCTTCCTTTGCGGATGACCCTTGGATCGCCAAGCAGTGACCCCCATGAAGACTCTGCAAGACTCCAAGGGAGTTAACCAATCTTTAGATGGGCCATCAAAAAAAATGAAGTTCATTAGAGAAATTTCAACTACTCAATTTGGAAAACTTAAGGAAATTAAAAATGTTTCAGGGTATACGAAAAATTCTAACCATACAGTGGCGAAAAAAAGAAATGTGAAGGACCTGGAAGTGAAATGTCAGGGACTCGTTTCAAAGACCAAAAACAATGTATTACCTCTTTTGCTGGGAAAATGATAAGATGGAAAATGGAACCTTAAAAACTAGGGTGCCAAGCTCATGATGACACTCTTCAAATCCTTTTTCTTCTGGGGGAATACTGCGTAACAAACGGCCCCCTTCAAGGCTGGCGACAGTCGGGCCTGGAGGCATACAAAAATTTTCACAGCACACATAAGTACGAAAGGCACCTGAATTACGGGGAAAACAATTAAAGGTCCTTGATCTGATTCCTGGAATGCAGGTGAGAGAGATAATGAAATACGGGGGCCCCCCCGGTATTCGAGGCATCGGTATTTATAAATCCGGTATTCAATACATTATATCGCAAAAAATTTCCTCGGTATTCGATTGAAAACCCTGTATTCGATACGATTCGTACGAGACGTGTCCACGTGTGGCCAGAACTGCCCCTGTGTGCCAGTGTTTAAAAAGCCAGCCGTGGCGCGCATCAAAGGGATAATTCGGTACATTCCATATTATCCATATTATCACTTTTTTTGGTGCTTGTTTCTGCAAAATAAGTCACCATTGGCCCCCAAGAAAGCTTCTTGTGAAAAGGCTAGGCAGTTGCATGACAATTTGGTGAAGAAATTGCCTGCAAATATGGGGACGCGAGTGAATTTAAGGGGCCCGCAAAGGTTGGTTTGAAAGATTTAAGAATTGTAGTGGGGATACATGTGTGATTAGGGAGGGAGGTGCCATTTGGACCAAAAAGCAGGAAAAAAAATGTAAGGGAAATTTAGGATTACATAGACAGTGAAGGGCGAAAACCCGAAAAAGTGTTTTTTAAAAGCGACGAAAAAAGCCCGTTTTGGAAGAAATTTCCCAAACAGGGCCTACATTACCCAGGGGAAAAGGCACCCCAGGACAAAGCCTATGAAGACAGGCTTATCTGTTGATGTGGCCCAATGCTATGGTAATTGCAAAGTGAAGCCTTTATTGGGGTTCACTCTGAACTCCCCGAGTGTTTGGAAAAAAAATGTCCTAAGGCTAATTTGTGTTTTGCTGTGGAGGGGAAACATAAGGCATGGGTCACTAGGGACTTTTTCCAGACTGGTTACACCCAAACATTTGCCCCCCACTGTGAAAAATTACCCAACTTAAAAGAAATTAGACCCAAGTGCCTCCTGGTATTAGACAATGCCCCCGGTCATCCTACAGACTTGTCAGAGCGACTTTTGGGGACATGAGCTTCATTAAGGTCAAGTTTTTGCCTCCTAATACCACTCCTCTCCTGCAGCCCATGGACCAGCAGGTCATTTCCAACTTCAAGAAACTGTACACAAAAGCTATGTTTCAAAAGTGCTTTATAGTGACCACAGAAACTCAACTGACTCTAAAAGAGTTTTGGAAGGATCACTTTAATATCCTCAGTTGTATAAACCTGATAGTACGGCTTGGAGGAGTGACTAAGAGGACCTTGAACTCTGCTTGGAAAAAACTGTGGCCAGAATGTGTAGACAAAAGGGATTTTGAAGGATTTGAGGCTAATCCTGAGAATCCTATGCCAGTTGAAGAATCCATTGTGGCATTGGGGAAGTCCTTGGGGTTGGAGGTTAGTGGGGAGGATGTGGAAGAGTTGGTGGAGGAGGACAGTGAAGAACTAACCACTGATGAGCTGCTAGATCATCTTGAACAGCAAGAGGGCAGACCTGAGGAAACTGCTTCAGAGGAGGGGATAGAGAAATTGAAGAAGTTGCCTACTTCAAAGATTAAGGAAATGTGTGCAATGTGGCTTGAAGTGCAAACCTTTTTTGATGACAATTACCCTAACACAGCTATTGCAAGCCGTGCTGGTGACTATTACACGAACAATGTTGTGAAACACTTTAGGGATGTCATAAAGGAATGGGAGGTACAGGCCACTATGGACAGATATGTTGTGCGACAGAAATCCAGTGACTCTGAAGCTGGTCCTAGTGGCATTAAAAGAAGGGAAGTAACCCCGGAAAAGGACTTGCTACCTCAAGTCCTAATGGAAGGGGATTCCCCTTCTAAACACTAACACCTCTCCCCTCCTCCCATCCCATCAATCATCACCAGATCTTCATTAAAGGTAAGTGTCAATTATTTTATTGTTATTCTATTGCATTAAACTTAATATTCCATGTAGTAATTTTTTTTTTCATACTTTTGGGTGTCTTGCACGGATTAATTTGATTTCCATTATTTCTTTTGAGGAAAATTGATTCGGTTTTCGATATTATCGGTATTCGATGAGCTCTCAGGAACGGATTAATATCGAATACCGGGGGTCCACTGTATACACTTGGAATGTCCTGGAGGGATTGGTACCTGCACACGAAAATCACTCCCTATGAAAGCAAAAGACTCGGTAGGAGATGCAACATTACTCCAATGAAAAGCAGGGGTGCCACGAGTCCATTGAGAGAGAACACAATAAGTGTCCAGGGCCCAAGACTGTTCAACTGCCTCCCAGCATGAACATTAAAATGGTATAAAATACCGACAGGTTGTTAGGTAAGACACATATGCAACAGTTAGGTATCTTTATTTCCAAACGTTTCGCCTACACAGTAGGCTTCTTCAGTCGAGTACAGAAAAGTTGATAGAAGCAGAAGAGACTTGAAGACGATGTAATCAGTCCATCACCCTTGAAGTTTTGAGGTGGTCAGTCCCTCAGTCTGGAGAAGAGTATTGTTCCATAGTCTGAAACAATATGGAGCTGAAGTGACAGGATGAAGCCTTATATACTGCCAGGTGGTGAGATTTAGGCTACCAGTAGAGGTAAGAATGAAGTCATTGGGAGGTCAGGTCCCTCTCAAATCCAGCCATTCTCACTAGTAGAAGTTGTCCAAGTTGATTTCAGGTCTGTACCAAGATACCCTTGTGTTGCAGTGTCTGACAGAGTGAACATTAAAATGGTATAAAATACCGACAGGTTGTTAGGTAAGACACATACACAACAGTTAGGTATCTTTATTTCGAAACGTTTCACCTACACAATAGGCTTCTTGGTACAGACCTGAAATCAACTTGGACAACTTCTACTAGTGAGAATGGCTGGATTTGAGAGGGACCTGACCTCCCAACGACTTCATTCTTGCCTCTATAAATAACAAAAAAAAAGGCACAATACCGTGACTGGAACGATACCTCTACTGGTAGCCTACATCTCACCACCTGGCAGTATATAGGGCTCCATCCTGTCACTTCAGCTCCATATTGTTTCAGACTATGGAACAATACTCTTCTCCAGACTGAGGGACTGACCACCTCAAAACTTCAAGGGTGATGGACTGATTACATCGTCTTCAAGTCTCTTCTGCTTCTATCAACTTTTCTGTACTCGACTGAAGAAGCCTACTGTGTAGGCGAAACGTTTCGAAATAAAGATACCTAACTGTTGCATATGTGCCTTGCCTAGCCTCCCAGCATACATAAGGGTACTAAAAAGGCACCTAAAGTCAGTACCTGACCTGCCGGGCTGTGGTTCGTACATCAATTTGCATGCGGCTGGCAGTAACAACCTGGTTAATCAGACCCTGATCCACCATGAGGCCTGGTCTCAGACCGAGCCGCAGGGGCGTTGGCCCTCAAAACCTTCTCCAGGTAAACTCCAGGTAGTAGGTTGGTAGACAGCGACCACCCAGGGAGGTTCTACCGTCCTGCCAAATGAGTGTAAAACAAAAGCCTGTAATTGTTTTACATGATGGTAGGATTGCTGGTGTCTTTTTTTCTGCCTCATAAGCATGCAAGACTTCAGGTATGTCTACTTCTACTTACACTTAGGTCATACTACACATGCATGTACGTACAAGCATATATATACACACACCCCTCTGGGTTTTCTTCTATTTTCTTACTAGTTCTTGTTCTTGTTTATTTCCTCTTATCTCCATGGGGAAATGGAACAGAATTCTTCCTCCATAAGCCATGCATGTCGTAAGAGGCTACTAAAATGCCAGAAGCAAGAGGCTAGTAATCCCTTCTCCTGTATACATTACTAAATTTGAAAGGAGAAACTTTTGTTTTTCCTTTTGGGCCACCTTGCCTCAGTGGGATATGTCCAGTTTGTTGAAAGAAGAAAGAAGTTGTAAGAGAAGTAAGTACAGGGGTGTTGGGGAGAGGTGTGGGATTGGAAGATAGAGAATCTAAGACAAAGTGGGAGCTGTCAGTTTTTACTGATGATGCAAGTTGAATAGTATGGCAGGGTAGCATATGTGAAAGGATTCAGGGGAAACTAGTTAGTTGGACTAAGCTTTGAAGGTGAGAGGTGCCTGCACTTTGAAAGATGCCTGTGTGCATTGCAGTTTGATAAATCATTTGAATTGTTTTGTACATGCACTTCTGAAAAGACAGCATGGGAACAAGTGATGGTGAACTTATTTCTTTCCTTGGGTTACCCTATCTTTGTAGGAAACTGCTGTGTTAATTTTTTTATTATTTCATTAATTGAGGCTCCTTTCTTGCAGTTCCTTATTTGAGGGTGTCATGAATGGGTTGGAGCCATGGTATGTTGTAACAGAGCAGTCAAATCACCCAGATCCTCGCTCCACTTTAATAAATACTCAGCCTTTTGCTCGACCACAGGTTGGTATATGGTATGGTTTTTTAATGGCCAAGTACCTATAGATATTTACTGAACTATTAAATTTACACCAATAAAGTATCAGTACAGGAAGAGGTATAATTGTTTATAATATACTACAGCTGCTCGAAACTTTTAAATGTTATAGGAAATTAACCGCTGCACAATTTGAAAATGGTTTGTATTTTACATGTCTAAATACCCACGAATCTTGATTCCTTATTTGTCAGTTATTTTTTTATAAGGAATTTTATCAAAATATTCTTAAGTAAAAAAACAAGTTTGTCAAATGAAGTTCTTATAGAGTTCTTGCTCATACAACTCCAGTATTGTAAAATATCTTAGGTTTTTTTTTTTTTTTTTTCATCCTCCTCATTTATCTGCCTCTTAACTGGGAATTGAGTTCCTCCAACATTTCTTCTGCAGTTGTTGCTTAAGTTATCCTCCTTTAGCAATTCATATACTGGTCATACATATCTTTAACATGTAACATGATGCTTTGCTGATAATGACCCTTTACATAGCCTAAACATTGTAACAATTTAAAAAAAATTATCTTCTAAAATGATAATCTTTTTCTAAAAGATGGAAAACTTATGGAATTACATTGGCATGAAGTTGGAGGTCAGGAAGCATTTTGTACAACTGTGATTTTGCCCAATTTTAGGCCAATTCCATTGCTCAAACTCTCCCACTTCCTGGCTATTTCACTAGTAAGTCTTCTCTATCAATTGAGCACAAGAAACTGCCCATTAAACTATCAGCTCTACCCAGTAAAGGGCCCAGAAGTTGGTATTTGGCCAGTTTTACACAAAATTCCAATTTCAGTTTTAATATAGTGTCCAAAATAAACATTGTCGGCTTTCCAACCACTAAAGCAACCTTTCCTCTGTTTATTAATCACATTCCCAGGCCTCTCCTATGGAACACTTCATGGTCATCATATCAGGTGTTCACTGTGCATGCAGGTATGACTGCATACACAGTAAGCCCCATAAAGCACCCAAAATCTGTCATGGTTTGTGGTTACTTTAGTGGTTTACTTGATTGTGAGGGTTTGTACTTCCTTCCCTAAAATGTTGCAGTGAATGCCGATTACTACACCACTTTTCTCGAGTACTCCCTTCAGAATATTTTTTGAAATTCACAGCTGCACAACTTCTATGCATGATAACACCCCGTCACAGTGCGAAAAAAAGGGAATCAAGTGGTTTGCTGAGAAAAATATTAAGGTTATACAGTGGCCAGGGAATAGCCCAGACCTCAATCCTATTGAGAATGCCTAGAATATTGTGAAAAAGAAGATAGAATCCTGCCATATTTCAGCCATGTCATGCATGCAGCAGGAGATCAAGGACATTGGGGGTCAATCAGTTATCCATTGATTATAATTACTTAAGAATCTGAATGAAAGTATGCCCAAATGGCTTCAAATGGTCAAGGCCAAGTGGAAGGTGACAATATTTATATAAATGCTGAGTAATACAGTTATTGTATAATGTTTGTATTGTTGCATTTATATAATTTTCATAATGATAAAGGAAGGCCCAATTTATTTTTGCAGGCACTATATACTTTCTACATTATAGTCTGAATGAAATGAGTTAGGCTGAACATAATTTCTCATTATGACAGGTTTTGGTGGAACAACTGTCATTCAGTGAGGAATAGCTGTATTAGCAACAGGTTATGGTGGAGCAAATCTGTTGTTCAGTGAAGGATGGTTGTTTTAGTAACAAGTGTTTGGTGGAACAGCAGTCATTCAGTGAGATATGGTCTTCAGTAAGATCTTGAAAATTTTAACTAATATGAAGGGTCCTGCTTTATTTGATCAGGTTTTCAAGATGTAATTTATATTGAACCATTGATATGACTTCAACAGCTACAGTAGACACTGTTCCATAAGTATACAATAGTACATTTTGGAAGAATAATTATTACTTTCTCACTCTCTTATGTTGTGGCCTGGCAAGATTCAGTTGCTTCAAGTTTAAGATTTCAAACTTGTTCAATATCCTGAATACTTAATATGAAGTATATTGTTGTGCCTTGTTTAAAGAGATGATCATTTTGTAATTCTCAATTTATCTTGCTGACATTTGTGCTAACTTGTTTCTGGATTTACCTAACCCTCTATTTATAACTTTTGAGCATTTTTAAGACTGTCATAGAGTATTTTTTTTTCATCAAACTGGCCATATCCCACTGAGGCAGGTGACCTAAAAAGAAAAATGAAAGTTTCTCTTTTTGAATTTAGTAATGTATACAGGAGAAAGGGTTACTAGCCCCTTGCTTCCGGCATTTTAGTAACCTCTTAGGACACGCATGGCTTACTGAGGAAGCATTTTGTTCTACTTCCCCATGGAGATAAGAGGAAATAAACAAGAACTAGTATGAAAATAGAAGAAAACTCAGAGGGGCGTGTGTATATACAGGAGACCATCGTTTAACACGATTTTGTTTGGCATATTTTGGTTTTAGCACTATTGAAGAATTGCGGCATATTTTTGTATAGTACTTTGTAAAATTAACTTAACATGGTTCAGTTTGCAGGAGGGGAAAAAAATTGGAGCGCACATCACCTGTGGGATACACTCTGGGTTAGACCATTGAGTCAACAGGGGAGACCTACCGTCACCCTCTACCACCCCCACCACCCTCCACCACTCCCACCACCACTCCCACCACCACTCCCACCACCACTCCCACCACCACTCCCACCACCACTCCCACCACCACTCCCACCACCACTCCCACCACCACTCCCACCACCACTCCCACCACCACTCCCACCACCACTCCCACCACCACTCCCACCACCACTCCCACTACCACTCCCACACCACTCCCTACCACCACTCCTACCACCACTCCTACCACCACTCCTACCACCACTCCTACCACCACTCCTACCACCACTCCTACCACCACTCCCACCACCACTCCCACCACCACTCCCACCACCACTCCCACCACCACTCCCACCACCACTCCCCACCACCACTCCCACCACCACTCCCACCACCACTCCCACCACCACTCCCACCACCACTCCCACCACCACTCCCACCACCACTCCCACCACCACTCCACCACCACTCCTACCACCACTCCTACCACCACTCCTACCACCACTCCTACCACCACTCCTACCACCACTCCCACCACCACTCCCACCACCACCCACCACCACTCCCACCACCACTCCCACCACCACTCCCACCACCACTCCCACCACCCTTTGTCCCAGCCTGTTCATACGCGTGTAGTACCATCCTTTGCTAGGAGCAAGATGTGTTTATTTTTGTTTGTGGATTGAGTTTAGATCTTTTAATTGCTGTATCTTAAATCTGCGAAGCAATCATGGCACCCAGTAGGCACACAAGTGTTGCTGAAAATGGCAAGAAAAGGTATAAGCGTTTAATTCTTAGAATTAACGAAGAAAATAGAGACATTAAGCAAGAGATAGCCTGTGGCCATAATGAAGTGTCACTTTGTGCACGTAAAAGAATAAGGTAAATATGAGTTTGTGTGCTGACTGACTTGACTTGACTGACTTACTGTATGACTGACTGACTTACTGACTGACTTGACTTACTGACTGGCTTGACTTATTGACTTGACTTACTAACTTGTCTGACATACTGACTGAATTACTGACTGACTTACTGACAGACATAGTTGAGTAACTGACTGACTGACTTGAGTGATTTACTGACTGACTGAGACTTTTTCACTGAAGAGGACCCTGAAACGATGTCTAGAGCAGCTGATGCCTTACCATCAATTGTATAATGTACTGTGGGGTAAAATAGAACAGAAATCCAATACAGAATTTGTGCACACTCCAGCACAACCATCGACTTCTGTACCAGAACCTCTATCATCCATCTCAGCCCAGTAGGGATACAACATAACTCTCCACTCTCCACAATCATCCACAAACACCAGCACCCACAATTTTAGGTAAGAAATACTATTATTCTGTTGCATTTGTAATCTTAATCAGTAAAATCAACATAATACATCATGACAATGAACTACAGTTACTTATTCACTTTTATTTTTGTAAGATCTGGAGGTCAAAAAAAAAAGTTGTTAGGGTTTTTTGGGGCTTCCAGGAATGTAACCCTATTTATCCCATAAGTTCTTCAGTTTGTCTAACGGTTTTAACTAAAACGTCGTTTTCAGGAACATAATTACAGTGTTAAATGACGGTCTGCTGTATATCTTTGTACATGTATGTGTAAGTAGAAGTAGCAAGATGTACATGAAACCTTGCATGTTTCTTCTTCTTTCAACAAACTGGCTGTATCCCACCAAGGCAGGGTGGCCCAAAAAGAAAAACAAAAGTTTCTGTCTTTAATTTTGGTAATGTATACAGGAGAAGGGCTTACTAGCCCCTTGCTCCCGATATATTAGTTGCCTCTTACGATACACATGGCTTACAGAGGAAGAATTCTGTTCCAATTCCCCATGGGGAGTAAGAAAATAGTAAGAAATAGTAAGAAAATAGAAGAAAACCCAGAGGGGGTGTATATATATGCTTGTATATGCATGTATAGTGTTACCTAAGTACTTAGTAAGTAGAAGTAGTAAGACATACCTGAAATCTTGCATGTTTTTTAATTTCTTTCAACAAACCGGCTGTATCCCACCGAGGCAGGGTGGCCCAAAAAGAAAAACAAAAGTTTCTCCTTTCAAATTCAGTAATTTATACAGGAGAAGGGGTTACTAGCCCCTTGCTCACAGCATTTTAGTCGCCTCTTACAACACACATGGCTTACTGAGGAAGAATTCTGTTCCACTTCCCCATGGAGATAAGAGGAAATAAACAAGAACAAGAACTAGAAAGGAAATAGCAGAAAACCCAGAGGGGTGTGTATATATATGCTTGTACATGGGAAATGTTGAGTGAATGCGTGGGGAGTTTTGAATCAAGTGTGAGAGTAATGGTGGTTGGGGATTTCAATGCTAAAGTGGGTAAAAATGTTATGGAGGGAGTAGTAGGTAAATTTGGGGTGCCAGGGGTAAATGTAAATGGGGAGCCTTTAATTGAGCTATGTGTAGAAAGAAATTTGGTAATAAGTAATACATATTTTATGAAAAAGAGGATAAATAAATATACAAGGTATGATGTAGCACGTAATGAAAGTAGTTTGTTAGATTATGTATTGGTGGATAAAAGGTTGATGGGTAGGCTCCAGGATGTACATGTTTATAGAGGGGCAACTGATATATCAGATCATTATTTAGTTGTAGCTTACAGTTAGAGTAAGAGGTAGATGGGAAAAGAGGAAGGTGGCAACAACAAGTAAGAGGGAGGTGAAAGTGTATAAACTAAGGGAGGAGGAAGTTCAGGCGAGATATAAGCGACTATTGGCAGAAAGGTGGGCTAGTGCAAAGATGAGTAGTGGGGGGGTTGAAGAGGGTTGGAATAGTTTTAAAAATGCAGTATTAGAATGTGGGGCAGAAGTTTGTGGTTATAGGAGGGTGGGGGCAGGAGGAAAGAGGAGTGATTGGTGGAATGATGAAGTAAAGGGTGTGATAAAAGAGAAAAAGGTAGCTTACGAGAGGTTTTTACAAAGCAGAAGTGTTATAAGAAGAGCAGAGTATATGGAGAGAAAAAGAAAGGTGAAGAGAGTGGTGAGAGAGTGCAAAAGGAGAGCAGATGAAAGAGTGGGAGAGGCACTGTCAAGAAATTTTAATGAAAATAAGAAAAAATTTTGGAGTGAGTTAAACAAGTTAAGAAAGCCTAGGGAAAGTATGGATTTGTCCGTTAAAAACAGAGTAGGGGAGTTAGTAGATGGGGAGAGGGAGGTATTAGGTAGATGGCGAGAATATTTTGAGGAACTTTTAAATGTTGAGGAAGAAAGGGAGGCGGTAATTTCATGCACTGGCCAGGGAGTTATAAGATCTTTTAGGAGTGAAGAAGAGCAGAATGTAAGTGTGGTGGAGGTACGTGAGGCATTACGTAGAATGAAAGGGGGTAAAGCAGCTGGAACTGATGGGATCATGACAGAAATGTTAAAAGCAGGGGGGGATATAGTGTTGGAGTGGTTGGTACTTTTGTTTAATAAATGTATGAAAGAGGGGAAGGTACCTAGGGATTGGCGGAGAGCATGTATAGTCCCTTTATATAAAGGGAAGGGGGACAAAAGAGATTGTAAAAATTATAGAGGAATAAGTTTATTGAGTATACCAGGAAAAGTATACGGTAGGATTATAATTGAAAGAATTAGAGGTAAGACAGAATGTAGGATTGCGGATGAGCAAGGAGGCTTCAGAGTGGGTAGGGGATGTGTAGATCAAGTGTTTACATTGAAGCATATATGTGAACAGTATTTAGATAAAGGTAGGGAAGTTTTTATTGCATTTATGGATTTAGAAAAGGCATATGATAGAGTGGATAGAGGAGCAATGTGGCAGATGTTGCAAGTATATGGAATAGGTGGTAAGTTACTAAATGCTGTAAAGAGCTTTTATGAGGATAGTGAGGCTCAGGTTAGTGTGTGTAGAAGAGAGGGAGAATACTTCCCGGTAAAAGTAGGTCTTAGACAGGGATGTGTAATGTCACCATGGTTGTTTGATATATTTATAGATGGGGTTGTAAAAGAAGTAAATGCTAGGGTGTTCGGGAGAGGCGTGGGATTAAATTATGGGGAATCAATTTCAAAATATGAATTGACACAGTTACTTTTTGCTGATGATACTGTGCTTCTGGGAGATTCTAAAGAAAATTGCAAAGGTTAGTGGATGAGTTTGAGAATGTGTGTAAAGGTAGAAAGTTGAAAGTGAACATAGAAAAGAGTAAGGTGATGAGGGTATCAAATGCTTTAGATAAAGAAAAATTGGATATCAAATTGCGGAGGAGGAGTATGGAAGAAGTGAATGTTTTCAGATACTTGGGAGTTGACGTGTCAGTGAATGGATTTATGAAGGATGAGGTTAATCATAGAATTGATGAGGGAAAAAAGGTGAGTGGTGCGTTGAGGTATATGTGGAGTCAAAAAACGTTATCTATGGAGGCAAAGAAGGGAATGTATGAAAGTATAGTAGTACCAACACTCTTATATGGATGTGAAGCTTGGGTGGTAAATGCAGCAGCGAGGAGAGGGGTTGGAGGCAGTGGAGATGTCCTGTCTAAGGGAAATGTGTGGTGTAAATATTATGCAGAAAATTCGGAGGGGTGGAAATTGGGAGAAGGGGTGGAGTTAATAAAAGCATTAGTCAGAGGGCAGAAGAGGGGGTGTGAGGGGTTTGGTCATTTAGAGAGAATGGATCAAAGTAGAATGACATGGAAAGCATATAAACTATAGGGAAGGAAAGAGGGGGAGGGGTTGTCCTCGAAAGGGTTGGAAAGAGGGGGTAAAGGAGGTTTTGGGGCGAGGGGCTTTGGGCTTTCCAGCAAGCGTGCTGAGGTGTTAGATAGGATGAATGGAGACGAATGATACTTGGGACCTGAAAGATCTGTTGGGGTGTGAGCAGGGTAATATTTAGTGAAGGGATTCAGGGAAACCGGTTATTTTTTATATAGTCGGACTTGAGTCCTGGAATGGGAAGTACAATGCCTGCACTTTAAGGGGGGGTTTGGGATATTGGCAGTTTGGAGGGATATGTCGTGTATCTTTATACGTATATGCTTCTAAACTGTTGTATTCTGAGCACCTCTGCAAAAGCAGTGATAATGTGTGAGTGTGGTGAAAGTGTTGAATGATGATGAAAGTATTTTCTTTTTGGGGATTTTCTTTCTTTTTTGGGTCACCCTGCCTCGGTGGGAGACGGCTGACTTGTTGAAAAAAAAAAAATGTATGTGTAGTGTGACCTAAGTGTAAGTAGTAGTAGTAAGACATACCTGAAATCTTGCATGTTTATCAGACAGAAAAAAGAAGACACCAGCAATTCTACCATCATGTAAAACAATTATAGGTTTCCATTTCACACTCACTTGGCAGGATGATAGTATTTCCCTGGGTGATTGCTCTCTACCAACCAACTACCTAGGGTTATAGAGTATACGCATTTCAAGTAAAACCGTTTTTTAATTTTAGGATGTTGGCCCAACAAACTTGTTAGTTCAAAAACTGACAAGCATCCATGATAACCTCTTACAGCGTCATGACCCAGCACTTTACACTCACTTAGCACGCCTTGAAATACCTCCACAAATTTATGGAATGTAAGTTACACTTTTTTTTAGTTTTTGTTTTTATTGCACATTCTTGTACAAATTGAGTTAAAAAATTACACCAATTACATAATTAACAACTAACTCAGAAATTGGAGATAACAAACACACACCACTGTATTCAATATATATAATTAAGCTACTACTTACTAAGGTGATTCACTCTTTTGTTAAAACAGTCGTTGGATTCGCCTGTTGTTTGGACGTGAATTTCCTCTACAAGACCTTTTAATGGTGTGGGATGCAATTTTTTCTGATATCCAGCATACCTTTCATTTGGTGGATTTCTTAACTGTTGCAATGCTGTCATTTATAAGAGAACCATGTAAGTATTCATTCCTTGTTGTTTACTAAATACAATAGGATCAGAGTTTCAGTTGTCGTGTTTTCATTAATTTTTGTTTCTATCAATTTTTTTTTATAGTCATACCCTGGATTTGGTGTACTTCACAGTTAATGTGATTCAGTTATAAAAATTTTACTGAAGGCCATTTCATGACAAACTTTTAGAGCACTAAGGAATTTCTGCATCAAGCAGACAAAATTAAGCCGAACATCATACCATTGTAATTATACACAATTTTTTTTTCTTCAATCTCTTAGGTTTTTATTGGTACCCATTACATTTTTTGCTAGGTACATGACCACTAAATTGAAAATTAACTAAGGGACTATTCATAATGGGTGCATTCTTTCTTATGAATGTCTGTATTAAGCAGATAAGCTCTATACAGTGAAAGTTCAGTGATGGGGATCTTTGCATAAATGAAAATCCATCACACTTCAGTGCCCATGTAATGAACCTGGTCTGCTGCTTTGATTACTCTGCTAAATACATGGACAAATAGCCCAGGCAGCAGACTGTCTGCTTCATCAGTGACACTACCAGACACACTAAGAATAAACCGTAATCCAGTACAGTATAATACTGTAAATTACTTGATAATAAGAGTTAAAAATACAGTACCATAGAATATAGTAATTTTTTCCTTTTGTGATGGATAGATGAGCTTAAACTAATACCGTGTTGTCTAATAGTGATTCAGAGTTATTTTATTCTGAATCAGAGGAGCTGTAAAGCACTGGTAGTGACATTGCAGATGCTTCTGTGGATATCAGACATTGCTTTGCTTTGCTACACCATCCTCCTCACACATGTGACACTGACACATCAGCCTCCAGCTTCCTTGTTAGTTCCAATGTCTGGGCGCCATCACTTGCTGTAGAAGGAACTATTAATAATACAGTATGTCACCTGTTGATAAAGTGGTAAAAAATGTTGCAAACACAGCAAAAATTGGAGACCAAATGATTTTATATATAAGTGCATACAGACAGTAACAAACAGGTAGGCTCACCAGAGAATGATGAAAATAGACAGGTCCAAAGAAAGGGTCACTGCCCCACACCTGTCAAATGCTCCATATAGCTGACTAAGTATGCTGCATCAATGACACTATCAAACACCTACTGTATGGACAAGTGCCTGATGCAGAGGACCTAGTATGCTGCATCAATGATGAGAGTCGGGCAGCTGACTCTCCAACCTTTCTCCGGCCTGATTTATTTTTTTGTCTGTTTTATCTAAAATTCACTGCATTAGTCTGTTGTACTGAGGATTTTACTTCTAGATTCAGATTCAGATACAATGAACCTTGATCTAACAAGCCCTGATTTTATGTAGCAATTGTGACCAGTGTACTAGTACACAGGTGACTAGGATGTGTCCAGTATACTAGTATTCACAGTTTTTCATGCCTTCAAATATACCACATGAAAATATTTTTGACCTCAGCTCAACTGTTTGGGTCTCTTACATCCTCTTCATAACTTTGATATAAATCTAAAACCAGGTGGATCCACACAGTGCATCACAGGGTAACACTGCCTAACTAGCATAAGTAAATAATGAAAAAAGAACCTGGTGTTTCACCACCAGCTTCCCTGTTAGCATATAGGGTGTGGAGCTGGCAGAAAGAGGCCTTATTCATTGCAAATTTATTACTATTGCATGATACTAACAGTGGAATTCAGCCAAAAAGCACACTGTTGTTAACCTAGGATAACCCAACATAGTCACATCAATTCAAATTCAATTTTTTTTTTTTTATGCAGTACATGTAGTAAAGCAACGTACAGTGGAACCTCGGCTTACGAACTTAATCCGTTCCATGACCTTGTTTGTATCCTGATTTGTTCGTATGCTGAGTCAATTTTCCTCATTTAAATTAATTGAAAGGCCATTAATCCGTTCCGGCGGAATTCCTGCTCTCAGAGGCAGGAAAAATACACTTCAATATAACACTAATATCAACTCTACGGCTTATTTATCTATCACAATTGATCTAATATGACATAATAAACAACATAAATAAATAGAAACCTGATATATACTGTAGAATGAATAAAATGTCATTATGTATGTGGCTACGTAGTGGTGCCGGCAGCAGAGGAGAGTTTGTTTGGAGACAGGACAATATACTCCTTTAATATGATGCTAATACTAACTCTATGGCTTATTTATCTATCACAATTGATCTAATATGACGTAATAAACAATGTAAATAACATAGAAACCTGATACGTATATACTTGAGAATGAGTATGTCATTATGTGACTAGTGGAGGCAGCCATAACCACTCCTACATTGTTGTGGTATTCACTGCCATCTAGTGATGGCCTTTTGAAGCTGTCTATTATTATAATTATTATAGTACATTATTATATTATTATTATACGTATTATTATACAGGTACCATCCGACTTACGACCAAGCTTGGTTCTGACCAACCGGTTGTAAGTCAAAATGGATGCAAGTCGAACCTTACTACTGAATATCAACATCACACTTTTGTAATGATTTTATTGTTTTATTTTGGTATTTCATTTTTTACTTTACTTTTTATGCTGTTAGTACTGTATTTTACACTGTAAGGTTTAGGATAAACACTGTGTACTACACAAACAGTTGTTTATTTCCCAGTAATTTGGCATAAAAAACATGGTTATAAGTCGAGTGGTCTTATGTCGAGCAGGTCGTAAGTCGGATTGTTGGTGTATTATTATTATTATTATTTTTTTTTTTTTTTTTTTTTTTTTTTTTTCAACAAGTCGGCCGTCTCCCACCGAGGCAGGGTGACCCAAAAAAGAAAGAAAATCCCCAAAAAGAAAATACTTTCATCATCATTCAACACTTTCACCACACTCGCACATTATCCCCTGTTTTTGCAGAGGTGCTCAGAATACAAAAGTCTAGAAGCATACACATATAAAGATACACAACATATCCCCCCAAACTGCCAATATCCCAAACCCCTCCTTTAAAGTGCAGGCATTGTAATTCCCATTTCCAGGAAATCAAGTCCGACTATATGAAAATAACCGGTTTCCCTGAATCCCTTCACTAAATATTACCCTGCTCACACTCCAACAGATCGTCAGGTCCCCAAGTACCATTCGTCTCCATTCATCCTATCTAGCACGCTCACGCACGTTGTGGAAGTCCAAGCCCCTTACCCACAAAACCTCCTTTACCCCCTCTCTCCAACCCTTTCGAGGACGACCCCTACCCCGCTTCCTTCCCCTATAGATTTATATGCTTTCCATGTCATTCTACTTTGATCCATTCTCTCTAAATGACCAAACCACCTCAACACCCCTCTTCTGCCCCCTGACTAATACTTTTATTAACTCCACACCTTCTCCTAATTTCCACACTCCGAATTTTCTGCATAATTTTACACCACACATTGCCCCTTTAAACAGGACATCTCCACTGCCTCCAACCATCTCCTCGCTGCTGCATTTACCACCCAAGCTTCACACCCATATAAGAGTGTTGGGACTACTATACTTTCATACATTCCCTTCTTTGCCCCCATAGATAACGTTTTTTGACTCCACATATACCTCAACGCACCACTCACCTTTTTTCCCTCATCAATTCTATGATTAACCTCATCCTTCATAAATCCATCCGCCGACACGGTCAACTCCAAGTATCTGAAAACAATTCACTTCTTCCATACTCCCTCCCCAATTTGTATATCCAATTTTTCTTTATCTAAATCATTTGACACCCTCATCACCTTACTCTTTTCTATGTTCACTTTCAACTTTCTACCTTTACACACATTCCCAAACTCATCACTAACCTTTGCAATTTTTCTTTAGAATCTCCCATTATTATTATTATTATTATTATTATTATTATTATTATTATTATTATTTACTATTATTATTATTATTTTGATTATTATTATTATTATATATATTTATATATTATTATTTATTATTATTATTATTATAATGGAGAAGCACTTGGGGAAGGGGAGGGGATGGAAGGTATTCAGGCTTAATTTAGGGAACTAGAACACAGATCCAATTCCATAGATCAGTGGCCCCTCACCATGTGCATACTACTACTACTACTAATAATAATAATAATACAATAGTAATAATAACAACAGTAAGGAGAAACTTCAAAAGGCTGCCAGTAGTTGGTGTCACCTTCAGCAAAACATTGGTAACTACTACTTTTCACCTGTCTAGACTTTAGTCTATAAGTATTAGGTTAAGTCTGCCTGAAATGCCTCGGCATGTCATCGGCTTTCTTTGCTCCAATCATATTTTGCTGTGTAAATACACATTGTAACCTTTGCAAAGAAATAAATATTTTATTTATTTCTTTATTTAAGGAACTTTCATTGAGGGGAAAGTACACATCCTGAAATTTCGTTCTTATCCAGAAGCAAAAAATCGACCGAACAACGGTTTGTATCCTGAAAAGTTCTCATGGTGGGGGCATTCGTGAGCCGAGGTTCCACTGTAATGAAAAAAAATGTTCTTAACCCTAATTTTTCTTATCCATAAGTTTTTCAGCACCCATTAGTTCAGATAAGAAAGCAACAACTTTATGTAGAATAATTCTCAACTAGTGTTTCAATTATTACTTCATCTTGTAGCACTGCATTTGACTACATTGTGTGGAGGTCACATATAAGACCACCACCTAAAGAAAGAGGCATTATCAGAGAGAATAGTGTGTCACGGAGGATTAATAGTGGCTGACAGTCAGTGTTACTTGAAAAAATAACATGAAATATGAAAACATACAAGGTAAAATGGTAGTAATCAAAAGTACTATCCTACATTACAATAGTAATTAAAAATATAGAATTTTACATTGTATATTTAGTATATGTTCCATGGTTCAAGTTGTGCATTTTGCTGTCAAATCACTATTTTTTCCCTTTTAATTCTATAAATTTAAGGGCCTTTGTATTTTTCTTTATATATTTTGGTGTATAAAATGCACATATATCTATTGTAATGTTTTTTTTTATTCTGCATTATTTATATGATAAAGTTTTTAGTTTGATTAATAAATTCATCTGAGAATTTGTTTCTTTATTTAACTAGTGTTGGCTGGGGACTACACGACCTGCCTGAAGTTTCTCATGCGCTACCCAGCTGCTGATGTTCAGTTCATCATACAATTGGCTCTTCACTTGCGCAGTCCTAAAGTAAGTCCTCATATACAGTGGAGCACCGGTTTTCAAACTTAATCCATGCCAGTGGTTCTAAAACCAAAACGTGCAAAAACTGAATCAATTTTTCCCATAAGAAATAGTGTAGATACAATTAATCTGTTCCAGACACCCAAAAATATTTACAAAAAAATTCATTTTTTAAAGAATAAATATAGTTTTACATCTACAAAACAATGATAAATAAATATAAATAAATATAAACATTACATACCTTTATTGAAGACTCTCGTTGGCATATTGAAGAAGGCGAGGAGGGGAGAGGGAATTGGGGTTATTGTTTGGAAGGGGAATCCCCCTCCATAAGGACTTCAGCTATCAAGTCCCTCTCTGGGGTTACTTCCCTTCTTTGTCTTTTAATGGCACTAGGACCAGGTTGAGTCACTGGACCCCTGTTGCACAAAATATCTGTCCAGAGAGATCTGTTTCTAGCATTTTTAAGATTTGTCTGAAGTAGGACAAGGTTCTGTCACTGATCATGTTGCAGATATGGCTTGTTTCAGCTTGGTCAGGGTGGTATTTCTCCACAAAACTTTGCACCTCACTCCACTTTGCACAATGTCCTTAATCACTGAAGAAGGCACCTTCTTCCCTCTCTTTACCACCACCTCTGAAGCAATTTCCTCAGCTGCAGTCTGTTGCTGTTCAAGTTGAAGGTTTTGCAGCTCTTCAGTGGTTAGCTCTTCCCTGTGGTCATCCACTAACTCTTCCACATCCTGGTCACTCACATCCAACCCCATGGGCTTCCTCAATGACACAAGAGATTCCACAACAGGCAAAGGGTCACCAGAGTCAGCCTCAAACTTTTCAAAATCCTTCTCTTGGACACAGTCTGGTCACAAATTTCTCCAAGCAGAGTTCAAAGTCCTGGAAGTCACTTCCTGCCATGCCTTACCTATAAGGCAATGGAGGATATTGAAGTGATGCCTCCAGAACTCTCTTAGGGTCAGTCTCAGTGTCCGAGGTCACTTTGAAGCACCTTTGAAACATTGCTTTGGTGTAGGATTTTTTTGAAGTTAGAAATGACCTGCTGGCCATGGGCTGGATAATAGTAGTAGTGTTAAGGGGCAAGAACTTCACTGTTATAAAACTGAAGTCCCTAGACAATTGGTCTCCCGAGTCTGGAGGATGAGCAGGAGCATTGTTTGTTACCAGGAGGCACGTGAGTGGCAATTTCTTTTCCAGGAGGTATTTTTTCATACTAGGGCCAAACACATCATGGACCCACTCTTTGAAAATTTGCCTCGTGACCCATGCCTTTTTATTAGCTTACCACATCACACTCAATTTACTCTTGAAGACATTGTTTTTCTTGAACACACTGGGATTTTCAGAGTGATACACCAGTAAAGGCTTCACTTTGAAATCCCCACTAGTGTTGGCACAGAACAAGTTCATAGGCTTGTGTCTTGGCAGTGTCTTTTTCTCCTGTGTGATGTAGGTCTTCTTTGGCATTTTCTTCCAAAAGAGGCCTGTTTCATCACAATTAAACACTTATTGGGAGAGGAATTCTTCAGCCTCTATGTACCCCTTGAATTCATGCATGAATTTTTCAGCCGCATGTTTGTCTCAACTTGCAGCCTCCCCATGCCTTACGACACTGTGTATGCCACTATGCTTCTTGAATCTGTTGAACCAGCCTCTGCTGGCCTGAAAATTACTCACAGCAGCACTCGTTCCACGCATTTTCTTTACAAGATCCGCATGTAACTGCCTTGCCTTTTCACAAATGATCGACATAACAACACTATCTCCCACTAGCTGTTTTTCTTTGATCCACACCAACAACAACTTCTCCATATCTTCCAGTTTGTGATCTCTGTTTTGTTAGCACATTCTTCCCTTTTGCAGCTTTAGCTTCCTTGATTTCTACTTTCTTTTCCAGGATAGAGAAGATTGTTGATCTCGACTCCCCATGCATCCTGGCAAGGTCGGCTAAACGTATGCCACTTTTGTATTTTTCTACAATCTCTTTCTTTATTTCTATCGTGTTTCTCGCCTTCTTTATCAAAGGGCTGGCACTAGAAACTTTCTTTGGGCCCATGCTGGCTTATTTTGCAGTCACAATTAAAAAACAAGGACCGAAAACCAGGGATTATAACGAAATGCTGTGGAATGCGCGAAGTAATGCTCACTCGACCAGTGACAGAGGCAGACTGAGAGGTGTAGTGGCAGTGTTCCCAGGCAGTCAGGCAGGCAGATGCGTATAATACATCCGGTTACTGGAGCAAGGTCCGATATCCGGAACAAAATTTTGCACAAAAAATGGTCCGAAAATCGAAACTTCCGATAAGTGGAGCATGCAAAAAATGAGGTTCCACTGTATAACATTTAATATGAAAACTGATTTATCACTTGAAATGTGGATTCAATCTCGAAACTTTAAATGAAGTTTAGTATAGTATTTGGGAATGTCAAAGAAAGTGAAATAAAAAGATATTTAAAAACATATTTCAGTAAGGCTCTGATTATTTGAATTGGTTGGAACCAGCCAATATCCAGATATCCATATTTAGATTTTTGGATAAAAGTTGTAGTACTTGCTGTATTTCCTAAAGTATATCCTGCCTAATAAATGCATGTGCACTTTTTTGGTATATTAAATGCTTGATATTGTTGAAACCAGTCAGTCCTTTTGTACAGCAACAGTAGTGCTATGCTTATGTAATCATGTACCATATACCATTTTCAGCATATAATCATGTCCTTGTACTACTTATTGTATTTAAAGTTGAGGAGCTCATACATTATTTATATTAAAGTGGAGTTGGAATGAAAATTTTCATAGTATTAAGTTTAATGGGGTGTATGTGTGTAAGAATGAGACAGTGTATTGGTGGATTCCTCCAGTAAATCAATATTCGGCAGATCTGGGGTCTCTTGTAGGGTCATTTTTCTGGGGATGGAACTTGGGCAAAGGACTATGAGTTATAGCAAGATCCTTGCCTTCTGATATTGTCTTTTTAAAAGTATAGAAATGCATGCAAGAGTACGTACTTTTGGTAAAAGAACTCTTTGTTTTATAGTCCTAATCAGTTAGCTTAGTTTTTCACAACAGTAATTACAGATCCAGTATTACTTCTTCCAAGCACGACCGCAAACATTATAACTTCAGTTAGAAGTTGCCATGGATTCATGTCCTCTCAAGGACATAGAAAGAGAATAACATCAGCAGCACAGACTAAGCATGCATTTGAGAACCTGGGCAAAGACTCATTTCGACTTGCTTTTTTTTTTTTTTTTTTTTTTTTTTTTTTTTTTTTTTTTTTTTTTTTGTTATAGTGTATTCTTGAGTGTGCAGCACTAGTATGAAAGCATCACATATTACATTTCAAATGAAACCTTGAAAAAAAAAAAAGTGCATCAAAACTGATACCTAAGTTAAGGGAAATGGAGGAACAAAAAACAAGAAGGATATTATGACATGCACATACTCCAGGGCACAGACAGTATGGTGGGAATAAGCTGTTTACCAGGGATTATTAGCTCTGGTAATGCTAAACCGCTAAACGGCCGAAAAAATAAGTGAAAGCTAACTCTAACTTTTTCAAATGAATTCAGATTTGGTTTAATTTTTTGGTCTTTTAATTTTAAGCTTTATACTCAAGTATAAGTGTGTGTGTGAGCGTGTTAGATAGGAGTGAATGGAGACAAATGGTATTTGCGACCTGACTATCTGTTGGAGTGTGAGCAGAGTAATAATTAGTGAAGGGATTCAGGGAAACAGGTTATTTTATATAACCGGACTTGAGTCCTGGAAATGGGAAGTACAACGCTTGCACTCTAAAGGAGGGGTTTGGGATATTGGCAGTTTGGAGAGATATATTGTGTATTTTTATATGTATATACTACTTAGCTGTTGTATTCTAGGCACCTCTGCAAAAACAGTGATTATGTGTGAGTGAGGTGAAAGTGTTCAATGATAATGAAAGCATTTTCTTTTTGGGGATTTTCTTTCTCTTTGGGTCACCCTGCCTCTGTGGGAGACGAGCCGACTTGTTGAAAAAAAAAAAATTAAGTACCAGTCTCCATGGGGAAGTGGAACAGAATTCTTCCTTCGTAAGCCATGCGTGTTGTAAGAGGTGACTAAAATGCCGGGAGCAAGGGGCTAGTAACCCCTTCTTCTGTATACATTACTAGTTTAAAAGAGAAACTTTTGTTTTTCTTTTTGGGCCACCCTGCTTCAGTGGGATATGGCCAGTTTGTTGAAAGAAAAGAAAGATAAGTACCAGTATTGTAAAGTGACGAAGTAAAACTACTTGAGTACCGTACTTAAGTAACTTTTTCAGTATTTACTTTTTAAAAAGTACTGAACCTGCTCATTACTATTACTTTTACCTGAGTACTGAAGTCTGTTATTACTGTTACTTCACTACAATCCGATAACGATACATTACTCATTACTTCTAAACTGTCATAACTTGCAGTACCCAAGAAAATTAAGAAAATATAAAAAAAGCTATAGTAGTAGTTTAATGAGAGCTTATAGCTCACAAATACCTTATAAGATACTCCTCCAGCTGTTTATGGCTGACCAAAATCCTCCTGCCTAGGGTGCGGTGGGACATTGACATCTTGCTGGGGTTCAGCACCTGGATCAGGCTGACAAAGGTGGGGGATTCTACTACATGCAGCAGTAGCATGTTGCAGATGAATAGGTCCACAATCTTTGTGTCCACTACAGACTGACGGACGCTTGTGCCAGCAGCAACAAACGCTTCGCCAATGTTGGTCTGGCGTGCTCTCTTTGCAGGTGGCTGTGATGACTGGCTGCTGCTCCTGCTAGCGGCGCTGCCACAAGAAGATTGCCCATGTTTTCCGCGAGAAAATCCGGCCTTGATTCTCTCCTCAAACTTAATGGCATGTGCTGGGTGTTTCCTATTAACATGCGACTTCAAGTTGTAGAGGCTCACTGCCTATTCCTTGATGATGATCTCTTTGGGCTGGCACATGACAAACAGGAAGTACAAAATATT